CATCACACACACACACACACACACACACACACACACACACGCACACACACACACACATCATCACACACAAACACATGCAAAAGAAAAGAGAACAGGCCTGACTGCCTGGGGTTAGTTGCTTCAATGTTGAACGTGATACTGGGAAAAAAAAAAGAAGGGCAGTGTATCATTTCTGGCTCGTCCAGAAATGATACAATCATAAAAGAGGTGGCATTCAGGCAGGGAAAGGAACACTCAAACACAGCCTACAGCTATGATCTCCTCCGGGCTTGAGGTATGTTCTAATATAGTTTACCTGGTTACAGCCAGGTTACCAACTTACCATCCGCATCAAAAGCCAAAGAGTTATCTACTTTGAACTTCAGTTTGAAGGTTAAAAATCTAGAATTCCCAAGCTTGTGCTCGCTTGTCGGGTGACTGGTACAGATGTAGTCGAGCCTTTTTTTATTCTATGGTTTACGTAAGGGCCTTGAGGTGCACAGTGGAGCTGCTTTGTAGCGAACATGTTTTCTAAGGGAGTGTCCTTTACCAGCACGAGATGAGGTGCTATAGTAGTAGGAGGGTCCGTTAAGTCCTTGTTCAGCAATGCCAGCCTTCACAAACTCGATGTCAGGCAAACTAGCTGCAGTGAATAAACACAAAGAACGACAAATGAAGAAAGGAACGGGGAGCAAAAAAAAAAAAGGAAAAAGAAAGAAGGAAAGAAAGGAAAAGGGAGGCACAGCAGTCAACAGAGCCGGTGGACAGGCAACCAACGACCTCAATCGATAGCCTGGCCTCCCCCTAGACTTGCAGAGGAAGGAACACCTCCTGAGGAGCAATAGAGGGTACGGAACCCCGGGAGCAGCATCAGGAGGAAGGGCACAGGGAGGCACGTAGGCAGGGTGGCAGCAACTGACAGCAAGGACCTGGGCAGGAACACAAGGCCAGCGACAGGAAGAAGGAAGACGGGAGGGATGGAGGAGAATGAAGAAGCTAGCGGACACCTAGGACATATAAGAGCAGGGACAAGTAAGACAAGTGAATGGCAAGAAGCGGGGGTGGAGAGGTGGTACATCCTTCCCGTCAGAAAGCACTCAATGCCACTGTCTTGGGATCTCTCAACCGTAATGGAGAGATGCGATAGGGTGTTTTTCATGTAAGCAACACTGGACGGAATTTCCAGCAATATTAATAAAAGACTATTAAAAGTTGCTTTTCTTTTATTTTGTTAAATTTAGTTAAAATAAAAAAGGAAAAGGGCTATGGACCCACCTTCTCAAGATCGAGGTCAACAACAGGAAGGGACTCCGGAAGACCTTTGTCTTGAGCTTCCTCTTCGGCCCACTTGTCGACGAGAACAACTTTGCCATCGCCACTGACAATGTCCAAACAAGTAATGAGTCTAATGACACATAGCTCATCAGACAGATAAACTCTTCAGTTAATCCTGTTGAGCAGACCCATAGCATAAGGCGATTTCGTACCACTGTGAGTCGGGAGCTCAGGGTCTAAGTCTGAGTACAAACCACCTACTTGCCTCCCATGCCACTTCTACACCAGGGGTCGGGGGTTCAGGGTCTAACTCTGAGTACAAACCACATTCAGGCGATTTCGTACCACTGTGAACGGGGTGCAGAGACCCCTTGCCTCATTTGAGTGGGTGTGGGATAAGAGGCCCCCCTTCACCTTGTATATTAGATGCCACACTAGGGACGATAGCCATTACCGTTACTCATGATAACTGTACATGGTGTACCCTACAAAGTCTGTGAGCTTTGAACCCCCTCAAGACTTTGATAAATGAGTAAACTTCCACAAATCCTCTGTTACATGCAGGTAAGAACAATGTATTGGATCTCAAAAAAAAAAAAAACACGAACAACATACTGGTGGATCTCAAGACTCGTCTCCATCGATCACCACCTACAACAATTGGTTTTTCTTTTCTTTTCTGCTTTTTGAGAAATTTTTACTTTTTACAATTTAACATTTTGTGGTTACAATTTAACATTTTGTGGATCGAATACTCCCAAAAAAAAAAAGAACAAAAGGAACAAGGCATTTGGATCTCAAGACTGGACTCCACTGATCGCCCCCCTACAACTGACTTTTTCTTTTCTGTTTTTCGAAATTTTTCACTTTTTAAGTTTTATCTTTTAAAGTTTCACTTTTTGTGTCCTTCAGGACATCTGTTAAAATTGGAACGATACAGAGAAGATTATCATGGGCCCTGTGCAAGGATGACACACATAAATCGAGAAATGGTCCAAATTAAAAAAAAAAAAAAAAGTTCTACCTTTTGAGAGAAGTTTCGACATTTAGTGCATAGAATACTGCAGGCTAGAACTTTCATCAGGAACCTCTGCCAATATGGTTTACCAAAGTTCAGGAGGCAAACAGAGACCAGGTACTCACCAAGTTTTCAAGCTTCTCCTGACAAAGTTACAAGCGCCCTTCTTAAGCGAACATTGGCATGGGAGAAAGGTGGTGGTTATCTGAGAGAGAGAACATGCAACTTTACACCTCGAAAACAGGTAAGAACTTTCCCCTGGTTAAACAAAAATGGGGAAGATATACTTGTCATTAACATCTGTTTACACCTCGAAAACAGGTAAGAACTTTCCGCTGGTTGAAACAAAAATGGGGCAAATATACTTGTCATTAACATCTGAATCTGATCTGATTACAAATTAATAGTACTTAATACATATCTTGTCTTTCTATGACATCTGTCATATCTTGTCTTTATATGATATATCTATCATATCTTTTCTTTCAATGATATCTGTCATATCCTGTCTTTAAATGGTGTCCGTCAATCATACTTGCGGCGCACCGGCACTGTGCGCGGACCCAAGGTGCGCGCGCACCGGCGCACGCCTCACATCTGGGTGCGCGCTGCGCTGCACACGTCTGGTGTGCTGCGCGCATGTGCGCAACGTATATTTCCATGTTCTAGCGGTAGATTCGTTTGATTTTGTTCTCTCTCTCTCTCTCTCTCTCTCCCCTCCCGACTTCTCCCCCCGCTTCCCACCATCCCACCTTCGGCCTTTCTTCCGCCATCCACCATCGCTACTTCTCTCTCCCTCTTCCTGCCATCTCTCTCTCTCTCTCTCTCTCTCTCTCTCTCTTCCGCCGCTTCCCACCATCCCACCTTCGGCCTTGCTCCCGCCTTCCGCCATCCACCATCGCTACTTCTCTCTCCCTCTGCCCACCATCTCTCTCTCTCTCTCTCNACACACACACACACACACACACACACACACAAACAAAAAAACGAACCTCCCCCCTTTTTTTTTCGGAGGCCCCGCGCGGCCTCAAATTTTTGTTTATATTTTTTTTGTGGTTTATGATGCGACATCCCACTCGGGTCTAAAACACCCCTCCCCAACTTTTTATTTTTTTTCTTGACCTCTTATTTTCCGGGTGCGCCGCACCCAGTGCGCGCGCGTAGTGCGCTGTGCGCAGTGCGGCGCGTGTGCGTGGTGCAGCGCACGTCGATGCGCCGCAAGTATGCTGTCAATAGACTCAATATTCAATTGCCTGTATAACATTATGAATGAATACCATGTGTACCAGTGGTCTTGCTTCTATGTCAAAGATTCCTTTGTTTTCTTTTTTCCTGTTCAGATATTAAACTGATCAGAACAGATTAAACTACCTTTTGGTCTTAGCCAAAAGGCCGTCTATGTCAAAGATTCTAATGTGCCCAAATGCTCAAAACTGTCCGAATATACCAAATGCTGCTCCATTACAGATTATCTTTCTTGCAGCTAGCGTTCCATATGAGATAATTATTGGTTTTTTGGACCTCTCCAGCAAGGCTGATATCTGGACCATTCATTGCTACCTGATTGTGCCTATGACAGCCATAGATACTCTCTCCCTTGCGCAGATCCTTCTCATCAGTTCTTCACTCTCTGGCTTCACCAGTAAGGCATCCTGAATCCACAGCAAACCCACAAACAGTTCTATTTAGAAAATTATTATGTTATATGAACTTGTATCATGCAGGGATTCATGCTTTCATAATTGAATCAAGTCATTCTTCTCACAGAGCTGTTGAGCCCGGGCAAAGATAGGATTTACATGATCAAGGTTTCCTGCCAACTTTGCAACATAGCGAGCAACATAGACATAAACATAGCGGTGTCGATAGATAGCAACAGAGTAGGATGATCATCCACATATGCAGCCCACTATGCTGGTTAAATTTTTTTGCTGATCATCGTCATGGAGCAGAACAGGCACATAAGCTCTGTTTCTCCTTGGTGAGGACTGAACAAAAGAGAATTTAGAACAACAACAGGAAAACAAAATGTCTATGTTCAACCTATTTCTTCTTGGATAAGCTCCCTTTTTTTTTTTTTTTTTTTTGTTTCGCTCATCCTCTATCGACTGAAGAAAAAGGCATCTGCATCCTGTCTCTTGCCTCAATTCCTCCATGAACACAATGTGGAGCTTTGAGACCAGCAAATCCTTGCATTTGGAGGTCGGATGAGGAGGACCAACGAATCACGACGATAAAAGTGATGCGTGGACGATGTCAACGTGATAAGAAATGGCTGAAAAACTGTTTCCACACTACAGCAATAGCACAAATCACCAAACGGAAGTGGCGGCTGAAATTTTTGGACCGAACGACAGCTGACCATTGGATGAACAGGTACCACTGAACGCAATGCCTGGTGCGGAATGACTGACAAAAAAAAAAAAAAAAAAACTGGCAATGTGCAAAGTTCGGCAAACAAAATGAGTTTAGACTTTGAAGTTTAAACAACCCAGATACTCAGAAGAGGGAGATGAATACGGAGTACACTGTACAAGCATTTGGTCCATCGATCAAAATCTGAGCTCTCTTTTTTTCTCATAGCAGCAATGTGCAAAGTTTTGCGACAAAGTAAAACCCAGATAGTCACTGGCAGTGTGAACAACGTTCAATAAACCAAACACTGGCAAACAGTAAGACGAGCGAATCAGTGGAGATGAGCAAATCCGCAAAATGAATCAACGGACAAGATGAGAAAACAGACTTCGCCAGGTTGTTTCTTGACAGAAGAGCAACAAGAAGGAGACCTGCTGAGTTAGAATGGAAAAGGAACCGGACTGACGCTCCCCAGAACAGAAAAGGAGCCGGAACCCTAGGCTTCTGTTCAGAGGAAAAAAAAGAAAAAAAAAAAGAACACTCCTGTGACACAATAACCCCTCCCACATCTAAAGGAACTCAGCCCCTCATGTTGCCTCACACATGTTGCAGCTCGGCGCATGCAGCTCGGCATGCAGCTCGGGAAATACACGAAGTATATATGGAGCCAAGGTACTGGCTATAAGCCACTTTGTGCCATCAAAGCTTCTGAGTGTTTCAGCCATTTCTTACACCACCAGGACAAGCCCTGTCCTCCAAAACTGTAGCCCATATACAAGTGGGTCGTGCTCTCAATCTCAATGTACTGACCTGGAAAGGATGGGTTCGATTCGTTTGGGTGCAAAACGTTAGCTTGAGCAATTTAGGGTCCGCCATATGGGTCCTGTAACTTCTTTGAAAATTCAAAGGCTGTAATCATCAGCCTATCCAGTCAAAGTAACCAGGAAGGAAAATAAATACCCCCAAGAAATGCACTCCTATGGAAATGGCACTGCCCACCAGCTCCTCTGAGACGAAGAAGTCCTTCCAATACAGCATGTGCACCATCCATGCAGCCTTGCCACCGGCAAGACGGTTTATCTCACAAGCATTCTTATCTAGGACTTTACTCACACTAAGGAGTCTGCACCTTTTAGGATGAACCAGGGGTAACGATGGTAATTATGGCCAGATAAATCCAGGGAAGTCGTCAGTCTGAGTGTGCCGCAATTCGAGCACGCTGAAGTTGTATAGGGATCACGCACAGTCACATATCGACCAAGCAGTGAATTTTACCTCACCGATCTCGCTCCGTAATTATGGTCAGACACATCCACGAAACTCACAAATGTGCATACCACGTACACTTCAACCATACTGGACTTGCACAGGGATCAGGTACAGCCTCTAGCCATGATGCAGTGAGGTTCACCTCACAGCCTGTTTTCCGTGAATAGGACATACATCCATCAATCAGGACATATTTCCAGTCCTCTCTCAGGACCTGCACCCGCTTCAGTAACCAAGGGATTCTCGGGTACATATGCACATCATATTCCCACAGCAGAGATCATACTTCAGACGGCAAGGGAATAGAAGGGGAAAGAAAGACAGGCAAGGGAATAGAAGGGGAAAGAAAGACAGGATTAAAAGGAAGGCATGGGAGGTTCAGAGTGGGAGAACCACCCCAAGGTTGAAGAAACAATAGGACACCACAAAAGTTGAGGACTGAGGCCAGGCAAAAGCTCAAAATCAAAGGGTTCGCTTCAGCGGAGTGTCAAACTCCCATAACTGGATGTGATATCGAAGTGCGTGACTATTTTGCTGGTAGAAAAGCAACCCCAGTGATACCTCCTAAACAGAAGGGCCAGCTGTAATGGTCTTTTGACTCTTTTCTTAAAAAAAGAGGAAAAAAAACTTTGCAAAAAAAGGTACATAAATCATGATGGTGTTAGTCTATTGAGAGATTCTCATGCCAGATAGAGTGATACTGTGCATCTTCTGTTCAGTGGAAGAAGATGGTTAGAATGCACAATCGCAAAAATACAATTTATTGCACATGTTGCCATTACCTTATTTCAAAGTTCAAACCACATAGAGACAGTTTCCTGGACGATGCCCAGTCTGGTTGAGGTGAGCCTATTGGAGGCAAGTCTGGCTGATCTGGTTTTGTGAAACAGACACGATCTGGCACTGGATTGAACAATGTGAGCACTCTCTGCATCCGGTAGACCTGCACTCATACATATGGGGATACAACTTCAGAATTTGAAAAGAAATACCTGTTCTTGGTACTCCGCACCCCAGATCTCCAGCACAGACATCGTATCATCGCCAACGACAATCGACCGGATATCAATTTCCGCACCCTGCACTCGTCCAAAAATCCAGTTCGGACAACAATAATGAAAAAGATCAATTGTTTGTGGACACAAGTGCCCACTCTCTTTTCTATCACTTCTTTCTTCTTATATCCTTACAATCCGGGGAATTTCTGGACTGCTCTCACGGTCGGTCCTCGACAGGCACGAAGCGTGCAATGCATGTATTTCTGGAGAATGCCTCAGTACAATACTCTGGACTCCACCAGCTGTCATACCAATTGTAACCACAAAACAGCACTAACCATTTTCACCATCAATTTTGCCACAAATATCGATTAAAAAAAGTAATGATCCATCGAATATTAGAACAGAGTAGCAGCCCGCACGTTTTAACCAAGTGGTTGCACCAGGAGAGGCAAGGGAGGAAGACGGCGAGGAGAAGGGAGGAAGAAGCGAGGAAAAAGGGAGGAAGAAGGGAGGAAGAAAGGAAACGGGAATAGAACGACAAGACTGCCAAGTGCATCTCTGCTTGCATGACAAAGGGAAGTTTCCTAGTGCAGACAGAGGGAAAAGGATGTCGCCGGTGAACTTCTCTGACTTGGCTGGACTTTCCCAACAGGTGGGTGCAGGATTGTACAAGGCCGAACTTCCTGGCCGGCTGGTCTGGGCCACATATCATAACATCAACGTTTTTTCTTTGTTCTTTTTCTTAGTGTGGTATCGGCCTACATGCTTTGTCATTTGCTTTTTTTTTTAATCTTGACGTTATCTCAGTTTTAACTTTTAAGTCTTCTGGACTCCCACTGTAATTTCTTCATATGTCTGCAATGACTCTGCAATGTCTGCATTGTTTTGTTTTGCATTTGGTGCTGTTATATGCTTCATACACATTTTTGAGATCGCTTGATAGGCATAGCACTGGCAGTGGCTACAGCTTGTCTGTTGTCGCTATTGAAGAGAGAAGCTTGAGAGGTGATTGCAGACTAGGAGATGCAAGGAGAGAAATTAGGAAAAGGCAAGGAGGATAATTGAAGAAAGTAGTTCCAGAGGGGGTGAGGAAGGAGGTTTCAAGATGGGCAGGGAGGATGCATATAGATGGAAGGGGAAGAGGTACCGAGAGAAGGTGGACAGAGTTTCATAGCAGACAATGAGTCAGATCTGCATAGCCGAAACTGGGTAATGGCCCCGGGGAAAAGTTTGAAAGGAGTGTATAATGGGACGCTGAAGCCGGTTCCCAGCAGGTGCTGCTCCTCACCAATATACCAGAGCTTTCAGGTGCGGCCCTGCTAGAAAGAGACGCTTATATCACTCCCTCTAGCAGGCCCCGCCACGCTTTCCTGAAACAAACAAAAAAAAAAAAACATTAAACCACCAGTACTTGGCCCAGCTATCGGCCGTGGAAAAAAATAGAGTAGAGACATTTCTAGTCGGATGAATTTGGGCGCTCCTGTAGTGGCCTGTACGTTTCCTAAAATTGTGGCTTGTTAACAAGCACGCCTTTAGTAAGTACTGGTGGTTTAAAGAAAAAACAAAAAAAAAGACATGAGAGGAGAGGTTTGGGGAAGGGAAGGCAGCCAATGGGATGGAGTAAGAGAACCGGGAAGAGTATCAATGACAGTGAGGGAAGGAGGTTCTAAAAGGCAATACACATTCAAGGGAGGAGGAAAACATGGAGGTTCAGCCACACATAGGTAAACGTGCGAGGATGGTGAGGGATGAGGTTCAGGGGCTGCAGGAGTCGAGGTATAGAGATGCAAAGTGACGAGGGTCAGAGAATTGTTGAAAGGAGGTTTGGAGACGAGGACAGAGGAGGATCACAGATGGCAAGGAGAAGGTGCGCGGGTCCACAGGCAGAAGTAAGAGAGGGGGCAACATCGGAAGCAAGGAAGCCGAGGGCGACCTTATAAGGAGGTGAAGGTCTGGACAAGGCAAATGTGGAGGTCTAGGGCCAGAGGGAGTAGGAAGAAAGGGGGTTCCCAGAAGGCATGCGACGCAGGGAGCTGTGTCAGAAAGTGGAGGCACTGATTGATTTAGGTGAGGGACGAGGGTTCAAGCAGGCAAGGGGGGGGGGGGGGCCGTGACACAGAGGCATCAGGGAAGAGGAGATGATGGAGATGGCAAAGCTGGCATATCAATGAAGAGACCACCCGCTTAAGTCGGTCCAGAACACACCACAACTAAAAACAGCCTAAGCACTGTTGTGGGAAAAGACCTTAGTGTCCTACCTTCGGGTAAATGATCTCTTTCACCACATTGCAGTTGCCGCCTGCACCCTGCAATCAACGAGAAGTCATCGACATAGACATTCACAAGGTCAGATAAGCCAGAGCAGCTGCCTGCACCCCCATGTATTTCGAAATGCTCCCCAAATCCAAAGAGGAATACCGTAAGCCGTAAACAAGCAGCATCCCAGAGCGAAGACTGAACAAACCGAAGTCCCATCAGAACAGGAGTGGCTCTTCAGATCTGTGCCAGACTACACAGCAAAACAATTACAAAGTGGATAGCCGTATGCATGAAGCAATCTCAGGACTCACTGAAACCCGGAGCAGCATTGGCTTGTAGAGCAAAACGAAATGGTATTTGATGCTATGCTGCTCACTGGGTCGTGCGATCCCCTGGCTCTCGCCCGGGCGTGTCCCGGATGGCCCGGCCAGTTGGGTCCCCCATTTGGCCACTGGGCGGCCCCAGCGCAATCTGAAGTGGGGGATTGGGAGGACCTGAACGGGTTTGGGCATCCTCCCTACTCTTATAGAGTGTGCACCTCATCACCCTGATTTCACTTTTTTCTCCTCGCACTTGCCATTAAATACTGTCCGCTTTGTTTTGACACTCTTTATTACATACTTGGTGCCAATCCTGCAATCGATGTTACATGCTCAACATGCAGTTTTGCCGCCCACATACAACCGCTGGGCTCAGTTTCTCATTGGATGAACAAGGAGTAGTCTGTCACCTGATCGTGTATGCTGACGATTGGGTTCTTGTCACCCATTTCTACACAGGTTCGAACCACTCTATACAGCTTCTGCGCCATTTCTGCATCGCCTCTTTGAACTGCATTGAAATCCAACTCAGCATCATTGTCTCCACTAACCTGGAAGGGCATAGACAGGAAAACAAAAGAAACAACTCAGCCCCTTCCCTTCCCCCTCATGCAGCAAAAAAAATGCACGAAAGGATCCAAGAACTAAGAAAAGCCAAAAGGAGAGCAGAAACAAGGACATTGTCACTGCTGTTGGTCGCTGGCTGAAACGTGAGGCCTCTCCACTGAAGTATTCTTTCGATTCACATATTGAATACTCCATCAGATTGCAGTGGAGTTACAAATTGCTGGAAGGTGAGTACTGGATACCCATTTTTCGGTTATGGACGGTAGGGTGAGTCACATTGAAGTAACCCGTGAAGAACCGAGAGGTAATTATACCACCTAGTTGCCCCTTGGCTGAACCTGCGCTGACGAGGCAGACCCTACCTGTAGCCACACATTCTGAGGGCCACATCCCCAACACACTCAGACTCAACACCACATTCCCCATAGGGAGAGCACAGGAGATCAGACCCGTCTTCACCTGAACAGAATGCCCAGTCATTATAGCTGCATTTGGGGCACCTTTCAGTCCCGGTACAGCGAAAATTACGGGGTGTTCTATTCAGGTGAAGACGGTAGGGACACATACAAGCCGCTGCAGCACAGGCAGTTGTAGCCCTGCCCCCACCTCCCAAGAAAAAAGAAAAACGTGCCCAAGCATGTATGAGCCAATACCAGAGCCATTCCCCATGGGTGCCTTCCCCCAAGTGCTGGCCTAGATTCGTGGAATGTACCCAGCAGTGCACACCGTCACCAACCAGACCAACATTTATGCCTGGTGTGCAAATGGCTGTTCGGCTGATGAGTGCTCAGCAGTGCAACCACATTACCATGTGGACCAACATTTGTGGCTAGAAGTGCTGCACATCACAGCCAGGTGCACTTGAAGTGGTGTCAAATTTGCAAACTGTGCCATGCAGTGCAAGCACCCTACCAATTGACTAAAAGAACATGAGCACAATTCTGGACAAAGAAGTGACAGTCATGCCCGTCTCCCTACAAGAGAACCTGGAAAGAGCTACCCCATGAAAAAATTATTCAAAGAACACAGGAGGAAACCTTGGGAATCATTTAAACCACCAGTCCTGCTGCCGAGCCTATTTTGTCAAGCCTGAAAATTGAATCATCCAAGCCTGGACGACAATGGTGCCGGCCTTGGGAAAAATTGAGCAGGTACCTGTACCAGCCTCACTGTGAAAATGACTACTGGACCAGATACCAGGTTTTGTTCTATTTTCCTTTGTTATTGCTCTCTCTCTCTCTCTCTCTCTCTCTCTCTCTCTCTCTCTCTCTCTCTCTCTCTCTCTCTCTCTGTGTGTGTCTCTGCACGCTGGCTATGGCTTATCGCTCTCATCTCGTCACACCTTCCACGTGCGGACTTGCATCATCCCCGTCTACACTGTGTGAGGCAACGTTTGTTCAAAGCGCCCGTGTCACAGGCAAGTTCGTTTCACACGACATGGTGGGCGATTTCGTTGCCAGCACGTTTTTTTCCTTCCCCTCTGACATGGTCACAGGTAAGTTTGTTTGGCATCACAGATAAGTCTGTTTCACACAAATTAGTGGGTTGCATTAGGTAACGGCACGGCATTTGTTTTTGCGTTCCTTCCATTCCTGCATTTTGGTTTCTTGTTCCTTTCATGTGTTTTCTTTCGTTTCGTCCATTTAAAAGGAACAGACTTCATCTGCACCATGCAAAAAGGGTCTAAATGCACCTCCTCCTCATCCCCCCCCCCCCCCCCCCCCCCTCTCCCCTCCTTGGGCCCATTCACTGTTCACGCCATATGCCAGGCTGAAAACGAGCCGGCCTTGTCACAGCGCATGCACATCTGAGAGATTTGGAGAAGGCTCGGCAGGACTGCTGGATCCAAGCAAGTGTGAAGGACCTCCTAACCAAATTGAAGTAGTTGATTGCAGAGGGAGTGAGTGAACTGTGGTAGAGAAATTGAAACCAAAGGGACAAAATGGATAGAAGTAGAGTTACTAATGAGAGTGGAGTCAATGGTGAGGCCTAGAGACTGGAGGGGCACGCCTGTGATCAGATTCTGCCCCCACGGGATCCCCATAATGTGTGACTGGGTACTGGATGGAGGTTTCCCAACCATTATGGGAGCCCCGGACGGGGACACGAGTAATCATCACAGCCTGTTACATACTCCAACGAGTATGGGCAGAACCAAGAATCAACCAATGTAGGATGAGTATAGATGCAACGGAAGTCTGATAAACGAACTGACTCACATAGACTGACTCACATAGACTGACTCACATAGACTGACTCACATAGCATCACTCCACACACATACAATCGTGAGATGGTGGGGTCTGAGCCATACAAAGAAGGTGCTCAGCCCCGTACACAACATACACAGATGAATGGGGGAGGAGAGACGAAGGAGGTGGGGTAGGTAGACAGCACTGAAAGTCACCGAGATAGAATCTGATAGGTCACCGATATGGTAGTCCAAAATGTCATCCAACAAGATCAAAATGTCGAGGAAAATAGGTCCCCAATGTCGGAGGTACAGAGTCCAAATGTAACCGGTGTCCGATGCAGCTGAGTATCAACCCCAACAATCTCCAAGTCTCCAGTCAGGTAAGTGCCACAGTCTCATATCACCGAAGTTCAACTCTGATCTCTGTCCAAAGTATAAGTATCCAATCCGAAGAAGAAGAAGAAGAAGAAGAAGAAGAAGAAGAAGAAGAAGAAGAAGAAGAAGAAGGGAGCCGAGGAGAGGGAGAGAGAGGGGACTGGCGATGGGAGGGAGGAGAGAAACCTCCAACTCCTGGTACCTCAGGCGGTTATGGCCGCCGGTAACCCAGTCACTGCTGCTGCTGCTACGCTTGCTGCTGCTGCGCTAATCGCTGCGCTGCCTGCTCCTCGCTCCTGCGCTAAACATAGCGCTCCAACGGCACTCTGGTGCCGACCTTACCGCACCGTGGTATACCGGTGGGTCGATCCCCTGAGTGAGGCCGGACCGGTTCTTTATACCGGTGGGCGGAGGCCGGCCTCACTGCTGCGAGGCCTGGCTGTGCCCTGAACCGTCCAGATGGACGGTTCAGCCCCAACCGGCGGGCGGCAGCCTCAAGAGCGCCGCCAGGCCCAAACGGTAATGTCGTTTGGGCCTGCCCGTCGGGTCTGGTCCAAGGTGAGGCCTTTATGGCCTGTAGTATCCCAAGGTCGGGCCTTTAGGCCCTGATGTGTCCCTCTAGCCCTAAGTCGGGTCGGGTAGGACCCATGTGGCGTCGAAGATGTAACACAGCCCCTCCAGCCCCCCCTTCAGAGTGTCTCGGGCGGCAGGGGTAGAGGCTTGTCTCTTTCCTACCTTTGGCTTGGATTTGAACTCTGTATCTGCTTGCCGCCGTTGCCGGGGATAAGTGACCGGACTGCCGCCCCCCAGAATGGATCGGGCTTGTTATATATTGAAAAAAAAAAAAAAAAAAACATCATGCAACCTAGAATCCGCCTTGGGGTTCAGACAAGCACATCCCTGTCACAAGCACACGAACAAGTTAAGGAACACAATATACATATGTGGGCAGAAGCAAAATCTGACAAAAAAAGGGGACAAAACAAACACCTACGGAAAGGTCTGCAACGTCTGCGCCTGTAACACCCATCGACATTCTGTTACACTGTACTAGTGAGACCACTGACAGGTTATCTACAAGGCCTTTCCTTGTTCAGTTTCGCGAAGTGTTGAAACGTAGTCTTCCCAGAAGTGTTCAAACATAGTCGAACACCACATCACGGTTGTAATAGCTAACGCATCTGCCTGTTGAGCCGGAGATCGTCTGTTCAATTCCTTGAAGGGTCGACCAGAAGGAACAGAATAGCGCTTCAGCACGGTAACTAGCAGGGGAAATCGTATGCGGATGAGGTGGCTGAATGTGAAGGGTCATGCGCCCTATAGGTGGCCTCATGTGATGCCTTGTGGGGGAGTGCGTGCTCATGCTGCAGCCATTCAGGGGTGGGGTTGATATCATGACTCGTATGGCTCCACTTTCCAACACCGCTTCACAGTTGCAGTGGTTAAGGCATCTGGTGGTTGAGCTCGAGATTGCTGGTCTGAATCTTTGCAGAATCGACCACAAAGAAAGTACAGAACATTCTTTGGCAAACTTGTTATGGACTTGTCCTTTCCTTGCTCAATTTTGCGCGTGTTCAAAGATAGTCTCTCGTAAACTCTGCTGACGAGGGAAACCATTCATCCAGCCACTGTTGCATTTTGACAGTGCTCAAACATCAGCTTTGGTACACTTTGCTCATAAACAGAAACCATTCATGCAGTCAGAGACATGATTGATCACCAGTAAAAAAGAAAAGAAAAGCTCCGAGCACGACGAAAAGAGAGAGAGGGGCACTTCGGGTTCACCGCCTGAGATAGTCAGCTCGCCCCCCCTAGCAGGTCTTGGTAGGGATAACTATGGCCCCCTTCCATCCACACTAGGGGTTAGATTCAACCCGCGGAGGGAACAGGCGCAACCCATAACCCTTTCTGTAGCTTAGCTCTAGTCAGTAGATTTACTACAGTAGGTAGTGGCCGGCCCTAGAAGCAGTAGGTTAAATAGGCTTAACATCAAAACCCGTAGTGTGCTGTGCTTCCGGTGCAAAGAAATGGATCGATGAGGTAGATATCGTGACGTGAGTAGGTAGCAAGTGTGAGGTTAAAAAAATATGGAGAGAAGAGAATAGTGTAGTTAATACAGCTGTCCCCCGTATGTGGAGAGGACAGCTTAAAAAAAAAAATACAAAAACAAAGCCGATACTTTACCATACTGGAAGCTGCTCCACCTCCCATTCCAATGCGGTACGCGGGTCCGCCAACCTGCAAAATGGATAATGTCAATCTCAAATCTCGAACGTTCAATCCTGTTTATTTATTTATTTTTTAAAACCGGGCCTGTTTAGTTTTATGCCACTTCATTCTTTTTTGGTTCCTTTTCCAACAAAATGTTCAGGGGTAGATAATCCAGAAAACACTTGGTGTCGTTATTCTGGCTGCAAAGTTCGGCTTCAAAGTCTGAACTAAGACTAAGCTACTTGCTGAGTTTTTCAGCATTGTAAAATTGCCAGTGATTAACATAGCAGAACACTGCATGTATCACAAGTCAGTGTTTGCTACATTACACTTACATACCATACGCGCATAGTACTGCATACTACGTGCTTACCACAACACAGGTGTGTAATACCTCCTTCCCTCTGATCCCTCCTGCTTGCCTTCCCCCTTGCCAACTCCTTTCCTCCCTAACTTCCTCTTTTTTTTGTGTGTGTGAGATTGAAACAGGTCCTTATGGTCCTGGCTCCAAAACTATTCTGAGGAGAGTCAGTCCAGTTACCTTTCCCCCAGGAAGACAAGAATACAACCTTCAACTAATCACACTTCCTTCGCTCAGGCCGAAGCACCCCTACTCAGCATACCTTTCCTTCTGACATTCCTCTCAGGCTCGGTTAGAGAGTCTGTTAAGGAGCTAGAATTGTGGATGAAAAAGCTTGAAGACTCGGTCCTATGCTCTCCCTCTCTCTCCTCTGATCATTGGTTCCAACTGCCCCTGAGGGGGAGCATTGAAGTTGCCTGTAGATGACTGAGGAATCCGTGGACCGTCCATTCCTGCTGATGATTTTCCACACAAATGTCTGCCTTTTCTAAGTTGTGCCAGTTCTTCCATTGGCTTCTGGAACCCTGGAGAGCTGCCACCTTGCCATTTGCTAACCAGATCACTTAACCCCGCATGCAGTCTCAGCTCTATTTCTGGGATCGTGTCGACACCTGGCCAATGCTTTCCAATGCTCGTGTCGACGAAAGCCCAATTAACTTGATCATATGCTTTCTCAAATACCAAAAAGTGAAATGGCAGTCTTCTTTTTGGAGGCTTCAGTAAGTGTGAGTACATTGTCCACAATGTACCTCCCTGGAATGAAACCCACCTGATCAATGTGAAAGCATTTGTTGGTCAAGTTGAGATTCTAAGGGCTAAGGCTTTAGCTAGAATTTTGGGGAGGGATTTTGAAAGGAGGTAGATCGATATTTCTATCATCCTATGATCCTAGTGAGCTTCTACAAGGATAGTTGGGATAGGGAAGGGATGGGCGACTTCCTCAGCAGTGTTGTAGTAACACTACTTTGTACAGTAGTCACTGAGTAGTGCCACTAAAACGCTGCTGAGGAAGTCGCCCATCCCTTCCCTATCCCAACTATCCTTGTAGAAGTTCGTTAGATCCGATCTGATTGTGGGCCAAAATGTTTCCCTCATTTCCTTAGTCAAACCATCTGTCCCCGGAGTCGTGTTGTTGTTCATGTGTTACACTGCAAACTGCAGCTCCTGCATCGAGAGAGATAGGTCAAGTAGCTCACAGTTCGTTCCTCAGGCATTGTACATTCAAGGTGCAGTAGCATCTTAGCCCCGTCCTTCCTGACCTTGGCAGGAGTCAGCGTATGTGTCTTCTCTTGATATATAGTTCGTCACAGAATCCCTTAGCAGCAATGCCTAACATTTCTTCGCTGTCATCCTTGAGGCTAATAATCAGGATGAACATAAGAGCAGACTCAGCAAAGTTCGAAAAGCAGAAATAAGTCCTTCCCTTACGCATACAGTTGCTTCAGACATGGATTATTACTTAAGGTTCCATGTCACATGGAACCTAAGGCAACTTTGCTTTTTTGGAAACATGTGGGATAACTTTTCCCCGCACATTGGTTTGCCTGGTAGGATTTGAAATTCAGACCCAGGATCAACGGTTCTGGTTTTGTACCATTCGCCCACCACGCAGGTACATATCAGACAAATTTTCATATTGCTGTTGGATGCAATTGTTACGCACCTTGACTACGAGCATTCCAATCTCAGGCTGTTCCTTCTCCAGATGATTATCATCAATCTGTGTTAAAATAGGTAGGTCAAAAATCAACCGCCACAACGATACAAGGAAATAGAATTAGAGGAAAGAACAGACTGCTATGTTTCCCGAGCATTACATGATGCAAGACGCAACTTGGGGACAATGCCATTTATCGCAACACAAGCTTGAGCCAATGTCATCTCCTTCCTCCTCTCCCCATCATCATGTCCCATATATAGTTGCTGCCGGCTCCTTCTTTACAATGAAATACGATAATATGAATAGACACAGATGGATATCCAAACGATCTCCCTTGCTGCCAGTTTAGAAAGAGCTCGCCAGTTTAGAAAGAGTTCTTCTTTACACTCCCTTCTCTCTCCTCCTTACTTGGTCTGGCATCTAGCTATGGCAGCTGATCCATGCCTGGCATGGCTGTTTAATGGACAACGTTCAACTACTACCATGCCTCTCCTCGTTACTTCCCCCATAGCCACCCTCCGGACGAAGTCCATGTCCAATCAGTAACCTGGCACTGATATCTACCTGCAGGACTCCGGGCTAGGATGAACTGCTGGACAGGTGACAGACCTTTCCAGGCCTAACGAACTTACTGACATGTCCCTACTGGGTCCCTACCAAATCCTGCTTACATCCCTGGCCGACCTACTAACTTCGATACGTCCCCTACCGGTAATTTTCAGTCCTGTCCCCGATCCTACACTTATTTTCTATCCTAAAACTGTTTGACGCACCAACACAGAGTACCGCCCACGGAATGGGTACACACATACTCACACTTGCTCTCAGAACTTCAACAGGCAAGCACACAACATACATACATCATCGGCATAACACAGACTCGGAGAACGCAGAAAAACAGACAGATTTCGAAATCGCAACAATCAGATCAGACGACAGCATTTACACAGGATGGACTCTCCAGACTCTGCACTTGGCACTGACTTATCAAATAAAAGGACACAAAATTCGCAGAACAGTCCTTGAACAAACATTTTTCAGAGTTCTCTGGCCACAGCACAACACTGAAAGAACCAGAGTAGTCGTCTGAAGTTCTCTAAACTTATAGCTACCGAGCCAATGCCCTAGCGCTAGGTGGCAGGGCTGGACATTTGCGCGCAGCTCTGCGGCTCAGATGGCCTGGACAGGCCATCCAAACAGGTCTGGGTCTGGGTCCAGGAAAAGCTTCGGAACAGGTCTGTTTGTGTCTATCCGCCAACAGCAGGCCGTCTCCCAGACCCATATATGTCCAGACGGCCCAGCCAGACCATCCGGACCCCATTCATCTGACTGAACATCTGGCTCTGCTACCTAGTGCTACAGTGTTTTCGAGGAAACTTGCCAAGTTGCCGATTGAAAATCTCATCCGATACGTGCAGCTGACCGCCATGACACAAAAAGTAAGCACAAGACCGACTGGAATCCCCATCCAAAATACAACATTCGACTGTATCAGCGAAAGCACAATAAGTATGAAAACAGGATGTTGATCATCAGCATAGAACATTGCAGCTGGATGAATTAATAAAGAATGAGGAACTCGATGAATAGCACCTCCACAAGGGAGACGTACAAGGAATGTGACCTCTCTCGACATACATGAACAACGACAGAGGAGATGTGGACTGCAGATTGTGAAGGAGAGCCCTCCTATCTCTACCCTTTCTCAGCCTCCACAGGTCAAGAGCACATCATTCCCACAATAAGAACATACTCATGCTAGGGCTTTCACAACTTAGTTTTGGCTTTGATTGTGGCCAGATACACTCAGGAAAGGGCAAGGCCCTATGTCTTAACTCAGCCAGCTAACACTGCCTTAGACCAGGTACATTCAGGAAAGGACATGTGTGATGCCCTAACTCACCTGCCCAATAGCACCACTGAACATGATTGGTTTCAGCCACTCCCTCCTTTCTCCATTTGGCAGACGCATTCCGAATGTTCGTGTGTAACCCTGGTTTCAACAAAAGGAATCCGTGAGCCACTCGTCATCATCACCAGCTCCTGATGAACTACCATCCTCCACCAAATAGAAGGCATGGTCATTGAAGCCGTATCTGAGCTGAAATTTGGCCGAAGACAGCTATAATGACCATGCATTCTATGTGGGGAAGACAGTAGATGCATCCTGTTTTGCATGTTATGTTCTTGAGAACGATTCTTCCTGTTTTGGGGAAGCCCGATGTGTCCTCCGTTGCATCAAAACTGAAACATGCCTCGTAGCATTCAAGGAAACAAGGTCAGTTATCGAACTTCACGATAAGCCACCCTCATCATGACATCAGACCTGAAAGTAGCTAGCTGACATTCGAGGAAAAACCTCACAACCATCCACATTCACAAAATGTATACAAGCTATCTTTTAGGTCTAGCACAGTCATGCTGAGGGTGGGCGGTGTTCCCCTCTGATAACAGAGATCGACTGTCAGAAACAGTGTTTCCAGGGACAGAAGCAGACTCATTACGACTCTATGGGACCTGAAAAATCACTTAACATTCATCCCTGATAGTGCTTGTAATGAGCCATGACTGGGAAGTAGGGGGTGCGCTGGGGAGAATGATTATGAGGTAGGAAAGGAAGGTGGTCTTATAAGGTGGACCGAAAACAGAAACCGGATGGCTGACCACTGAAAGGTGACTGTCGTATGTCCAGAATCCAGCCTCTACGACAACCTGGGCTGTAAAAAAAAAAAAAAAAAAAAAAAAAAAAAAAGTTTTCAGGGACACAAGCACGTAAATGCACAAAGGGAAACGGTCCTTTCAGGAAACTCCAAGCTTCAAGATCGTGAGCAGTCTCCATAATAATAGCAAAACAAAAGAAGAATCAGTACCGTCAGTTGGATGCCAGGAAAGATACTTTTGTGTACATTAGGGATTTACCCTGCTGCACGGTACCAACGAGCACACATTCGCAAACGCATGCATACAACATTTTCGGACAAAGGGCAGAGTTCTTTTTCCCTTCTGTACTCGTAATTTTTATGAGGGGCTGGGAAACACTTGCCACCACAACCACCAGTTTGTAGTTCATCAGTCACAGGACCTCCTCCATGCACGCACGGATTCAAACCCGTGCCCTCAGCCTCAAGAGCCGAGCCTCTTAACCACTACAGCCATGGCATGGTGTATAAAAGTGGATCCATGCCGGTTGTAATATCCACCCCACCCCTGCATGGCTGTAGTGTCCTTCAACACACACACACACACACACACACACACACACACACACACACACACACACACACACACACACACAACACAAGGCATCCGCCACACAGGCAGTAGTCTCACACTCCGTTCTCATCCAACACAACTGCTTATCCAACAGTTCTCCGGGCTGGTTACCCGATTGAAGTACAGTTTGCACTTTATGAGCCACAGGACCTGCTCCGTGCATGCACGGATTCGAATTGGTGCCCTCAGCCTCAAGAGCCAGGTCTCTTAACCACTCCACTCCGAAATTTTTCCCAAGACCCCTATTAGTAGGGACGTGCCACACCACGTGCGCACACGGGTGCACGTGCGCTGTGCGACATCCGCGTGATGTGCCACAAGTATGAAATGAAGTGATGCCCCAGAGGTCTTCCAGAGAGATTTCCTTTCCCAAAAAAAGAAAAAGATACCTTCTAAGTCAGTCAAAGTCACGAAATCCCATACTCGTTGCTTCGCTCCTTTGTTTTTTAGTCTAATTTATTAGACACCCAAGAAACATAATCACAGAATTCTTCACATACTAAATCTACAAGAACCAGCTGAAATTCCATTCATGACACACCCTGCAGAAACATTTGAGCTCGCTATCTAGTATTTAGTATCAAGTACTATCAACAAGTTTGATTGATCGACCTGATGACGGCTTTAACTGCCCGTCCCCTGGGGGGGGTTGGGGGGCGGGGGGGGGAGGGGGAGGGGAGGGGAGGAAGAGGAGAACCAATAAAGCAGATGAATATATTTCTTTAGGCCAATGCAACCACAGCGCTGCATTGAAACTCGAAACATGGGGCACTGGACCAACATTCCAACAGTGCAGCACCTAACAAACAGATTGGATCACTTTCTCAGAGAGAGAGAAAAAAAAGGAGAAAAACCTACGAATGAAGAGAAGTGAATACTTCAACATATGTCACGCGTGTCCTTAATATGTACCTGAATCAGTGGTTCCCCGAACTTGTTTCCATAATCAGATGCACCATCGCTAGCATCAATCAGAATCTGCAATCGTCAAAATCCAAACATTGCAAGCATGTTAGCGGTAAAGCACAATCGTCAATGTTCAAGCTTGGCGAGGTACAGATAGAAGAATCAAAATGCAAATTTTTTTTATTTTTTATTTTTTTTTTGCCGGGTCTTCTACTCATATACGGGGGACAGCTGTATTTCTGACTACGGTATTTTCTTCTCTAAATATTTTTCCGGGACAAGGACCCAACCTATCCACTCTACTCTAGGCAGGGAGTAGTACCCCGGCTCTCTCTAAACCCAAGGCATGGAAGGGACAACCACCTTCAAGACCAACCGGGGGGCGGGCAAGCTATCCATCTCAGCTGGTGAACCTGAAGCCCGCACAAGGACATGGGGAGCCGAATGAAGGACGCAGGGAATCGAACCCATGACCTCCTGAATAACCTATGTGCTCTACCAACTGATATAGGCCACTGAGTCGCCGCTGACCCTAATGTTGCAAGCATACTTAGTAGAATCAAGGAGACAACTTAGACCGTCCTCATTCACCTAAGGGTGCAGACAGGCTCTGTAAGGAACTCTACCTGTTCTTTCATTGGCATCAACGCACAGGATTTGAACACCAATGCAGCAATCGACCCAAAGCCAGAGAGCATTTCTGCCCGCCAACTCCCAAGAAGTTTGCAAGTTGTGGATTGCCTTTTTACCCACTTCTGCAATCTACCCCTTTCAGGGGCATCCTATAACAGTGCCAGAACTTGACGATCGAGTGTACAGGCAGCAAGGATGGGAGACAAAAGAGGCTGGCTGGTGTTGAGAGCAAGGACGCAATCAACAGGCGGACCCAAAATGTATGCTGGTGGTCGGCGTTGGTGCTGACGGCACGTACATTTGTCTTCGACTTCGATGTGATCATGTTGCAAGAACGTAGACAGGCTAGATAGGCTGAGTAGGATAGGCAGGGCGCTGTGTGCCAGACATTAAGTGCGACAGTGGATACAATATTGGTGTGACCACAGAGTGGCGACATTGACACCTGAGTTCATTGTATTGCTCTTATCTGGACAGTATCTTGGTGCATTGCACTCTCTGCTTGGTTCATGACTATCTGAGCTTCTTCGTGATGTTGCAACTTGGTTTTCTGTCTATCGCTCTCGCTCATATTCCTTGCACAAGAAGCAAAAACGGTTAAAAAGAGAACTTCAGAGGCTGTGGACCAACAGTGCCTTTGCAGTTACAGACTTGAACGGGGGAGCAGAAAAAAAAGAAAGGAAAAAAGAAGTCCAGGTGACTTAGGAACTGCCCTGACCTCGGGGATGAACCTACAAGCCCTCCAGTATGAATCTGGTCTTGAAGCCGCAGACCTTACAGTGATCAAAACAGTAAACTCATTTTCTTCTTCCATAAAAAACTCATCCTTCTTTCTATTCTGGGAGGCATCAGTCACTGAAATGTTCAAATAGCAGAACTACTTCCAAATACGTATGGAGCTCAGAAGTTCACATGAAGAAATTTGACAAGTTTGCAACAACAGTTTTTTATGGAACCTTTACCTGAAGTGGTGAAGCAAGATTCGGCGGGTAGACAAAACCTTGGTCTTCCCACGGAAACGTGTTTCCATCAAGCTGCAACATTCATCAGATACAGAACAGGTTCTCAAACAGTTACTCTCTCTCTCTCTCTCTCTCTCTCTCTCTCTCTCTCTCTCCCCCTCCCTCTCCCTCTATGCTCTCCCTGTCCCCTTCTTCCCCCCTCCCATCCCCAACCAGATCGGGGGAAGCTTCGCTTCCTGGTCCTGAGTTCCACCCATCTGGCCACCATACCCGATGACAACCCATAAAGAACCTTGGTCATCATTCTGTTGAGAGTATGACGGTTTTGGTTTGTCCATCAGATACCCATGTGAAATTTTGTATTGTGAATCTGTGGTGTTGTTTTGAGGTCATATGCCTTTGAATATTTCGGAATTGAGACCAAAATAGACTATAGAATTCAAGCCCTGTCCCTGGTCACTGTGGAAGCTGGGAGGGTGAACAGGCTGGAAGATATTCTGGCTGATGAGCTGGTGAGGAATTTGAAAAGAAAAGAGGGAACCATTTAGCAAAGGGGTCCTCCAAAGTACATAATTGGCAGACTGAAGAGGCCAAAGGGGCCCTTCAATATAGATGATTGGCCATCTTACTTTCTGAGCTCATGAATCTGATAACATCAACAGCTGAGGCCTCCAAATCTATCCTTTTCCGGGTATCGTCAGTCGGTTTTTGTCAATAACCTTCGCTATCTTCATTTTGCAACTTCTCTGTTCTCAAAGCATAGTCGAAGTTGTGCCCAATGATCCTTGTAACGTTCAATGCACTTCATGATTCCTAGAACGGCAATCAGTCAAAGTAATTAGCGATTAGAAATCAGCTCATGCCAGGCACAATTTCCTTGCTCCCTCCTCCCTTTCCCAGAGGGTTGCAGTTTGGCCAGAGGCTTCATTAATTCACTACGGTGTACGGGGCCTAACAAGGTCCCCCCCCCCCCCCCCCCCCCCCCCCCCTCCTTCCAAACCTTTTCATACCATTTTGCAAAAGCCTCAGCGCACCACCACCATGCCTCTGCTGCATTTCCATACCATGTTTGCAATCCAACGATACTAGTACTTCTGCACATCTTCGCTTCAACGTCCCATAACCATCTAACCACTGCGGATGAGCATAGTAAAGTCGTACTCAACAATATCCTCGGCATGTTCATGTTTCCTCAAACAGAAACTAGCCCATCTGAGGCACAACTGACCTCGATAAGTCTGAGCGACCAGTGACTTTCGCTGCGACTTTGCTGGAGGCCTGATCTAACCCTTTCTCCGTGTGTGTGTTGTATACTGTCAGCAGAACAACCTCGTTTCCACCCAGATTTGTAGATCCAAAATTTAGCACAACCTTGCTTTGTAGGTCCAAATTTGAGAACCACCTTACTTCATAATCTTATACGAATTTCTTTAAAAAACAAAAACAATCATTTGTATTGTTTTGATAATCTTATATGAGAAGCACCTTACTTCATAATCTTATACGAGAATGGTGCAAGGCCCACCATGCCTGTGTACTTAAGTGTGACAAAATCGGCCTACCATTCGGCACACCTGCACCTTATATTTTCTGTTCCCTTAGCGATGCGCATTCATATGTATTTAGTAGTTCTCCACAAGGGGAGTGTGTGTGTGGGTCCCTATATACACCCACACAGATCTACAAGTGGCCTTCATACTCCAGACTGACTACAGGATTCCACACTACAAACACACATGATAACATCGCCTTGGGACTCTGCAGTTCGTACTAATCCATTCGTTTGTAGCAACTTACGAAATTCAACCACCAGCTCGACAGCTCAAAGTCAAAGCTGTAACTAATTAATTATTAGAATTTAGAACATACAGGTCAGAACTAACTGAAAATAATAAGCTCGTAGGCTCGAAGAGTCGAGCCTAGACAGTCGTAACAAGTGCCCTCCGAACCGTGGGTTTAGTTTCTTGTACATTGCACAATTGAGCTAGTTTAAAATGTACATTGAAGAGGGAGTCATAAAGAGTAAAAAGGCGTGCCATACCTGCAAATTTCCAACGCAATAGCCTGCCGTACCAGCCACGATAAGGGAGCCAACTCCAGTAGCATGAGTATCACGAATACGCCCGCCAGCACCGGTTTCTGCTCCTGGGAAAGGTGCAACCTGTTGTACATAGATGGCATTGAGGGAAACAACAAGTTACACGCTCAGGGTTCATTGAAAGGGACCAAGTTGATCAGTGGGGTGGATCATCGTCAGGGATCAAAAGGTGATCAGCGGAACCAATCATTGACGGGGATCGACCTAATCAGTCGGATCAATGCCTCTGAGCAAGGACAAATGATGTACACCTGATGACAAAAAGCCCTTCAAATTTCGATGCATTTGGAAGAAAAGCATGGTTGTGCCTGACACAAGCCCTGACATTGTCCAGAGTGTACCTGCACCTGGGCTTGGCTAACCGTCGGTATCATTCCAATTTTGATGGATGTCATGAAGGGCATTCCCACGAAGTATTACTGATTTGCTTTCTGATTTTCACCCTGCTTGGATTTGTGTACAACTTTATCCGGAGTGTGCCTGCACCTGGGCTCCGAACTGCTGAGGAAGGACACGATCCCCCCGGGGGAATGGGTGAGGATGCGGGGAGACACGTGCTGGTAGACGGAAGACTACAGGTCACCAGTTGGCGCATCAGTATGGGGTACGAAGGGCTGGGGGAACCCATGCAGGAGGACGTGGTGGGGGAAGCAAACCCCCGGAAAAGCATGGATAGAATTCGATCGAAAAAGGTGGCGGTATGCGAGGGAAGGAGTACAGGGGGAGGGACAATACTTGCCCTTTTTAATCGCATCCAGGCGGCGGGATCTAACAATCGGAATGGCCGATACAAAGAATGCAAAGGAAGATGTCCCGCTCCAGAACCTTACTACAAAGAACATCCACAACTCTATACTGGAGCCGGTGAACATCTGTGAGGAGCTGAGGACTCGGTGGGAAAAGGAACTGGATCCCTGACGCCTACTTCAGCAGATGGACGCAACAAAGGTCGAATGATCACTGCGCATTTCTGTCAGCCCTGCCAGACCAGAAACAGGCGGGTCTCTTATGGAAGCTGTATCATCTAGCGATCCCACAGCACAGTGGTTGGCATCTAAGAGCCGACACAAGGATCAGAGATGTGCAGTGGGCTGTGGACAAGGGGAAACAGTGCCCCATCCTATTGGGGGCACTAATGGAAGTGGACAGGGCACAACCGAAGGATCTGATGGCACCTGAAATCCTGAGGGTGGCGGTGTTGTGGGCCTTGTGGACATTGAGGAACGAGCGCTGTAGACAGGGCACCTCCCCCCTGCTGCAGGTATACCAGGACAGGACGCTGGCAAATATTTGGGTGGCTCTCCTGGCGGATCGGCACCAAAGCAGGAACACAGGAGAACGGAAGGAGGAACGTTTCTGGGCCAGATGGGGCTCATACCCGCAGCTGCTAGCCCGAGACCCCCGAGACGGGCCGCATGCAGTTCGGCCCAGAGCTGCTACGTCAAATGCCCCGGGCGAAGTGGAGGAAGAATCTGAGCAGGCAGTAGAGTAGTTGAGAAAAGCAGCCGACATGTATAGTAGTCAGGGGGGTAGGGGGTAGGCGCCAGGTAGAGTTAGAAAGCTGGTTGATAGCTGTACAATATTAGGGGGAGGTGATCAGAGGAGGGCAAGTAGGGGAAAGGGGAATGGGGGGGTGTAGGGCGGATAGGGAGGGTGAGGGGCGGAGGGGTGCAAACATTGGAAAGCACTAAAAGAGTACGGGAACATTAAAAGATATAGGGGTTACAAGGCGCTGGGAGGACCATAATACTACTATACGGATGGACAATGATGTTGAGTCATATAAGACTGCACAAGGATACATGGAACTACCGAGATAGGAATCAGGGAGCAAGGGGCATAGAGATAGTAAGAGATATGGAGCCAGCCAAAACAAAAGTACGAGGGACAAGAAATGTTGTAGAGTGCTGTTAAAGGCGGGTTAAACAAGATAAGATGGACAGGATGAGAGTACGACAAAGGTGGACGAAGGTGGAAAGCGATGACCTAGTGACGTGTGGGCCTCGATAGGCGGCCTGAGGAACTGCAGGGAGGCCCCTCCCCACGCCCCGCCTCTCTGAGGGCCATCCTGCTGAGTGTCTGGGTGCTGCTAGCAAGCCTCCCGGCCAACAGGGTGGCCCCCTGGAGAATGGTTTGTGGGGGTGGGACCCCTTGTTGCAGCTTTCCCTTTGCTAGGTAACTAGTACCACAAGGGCTAGACTGTTCTCCTTCTCTGGTCTGATCTCCCCCCTTCTCTGGATGTACAAACATGCTTGCCCAGAATAGAAGGGGTCACTGTGTTTTCAAAAATAAATCAAAACGAAAAACGTAATCCGGACAGACCATCAGAACAGCAGTGTCCAGACTCAGAAATTTGGACTGTCTAGATGGCTGTCTGAAGGTCTGGGTCATAAAAATGGGGCAAAGAAAAAAAAGGGGGTAGGGGGTACCAAACAAAACAAAAACGAAGAAAAAGAAAGAAGCTGCAAGGCGAAGGGCAAACCCTGGGTTCAGGTATGAATACCCTTTCAGAGACAAGGCGGACCCCAACGAACAGGAGGCAGATCAGAAAGGGAAGGTTATCACATGGGAGGAAACAGCTAGTCTAGTGTGCCCACGTCATTAATGCGGAAAAAGTTCAAACAATGAAGAAGATTCTACGAAGTTACAAACAAAATAACAAGCCAATACAATGCAAGTTTCAAACAAACAAGAACCTAATAACAAACTGGAAAACATGAGTAAAAACACAGGTTTAATTTTCTAGAAAAGAGGAGGAAAGTCAACACAACAATATAACGTAAATGTCATACAAAGTGTCAGGAGCAAAATATCAGTTTAGACTTCTCAGTAAGAAAGACAACAATGTGACTCAAAATTTTGCCCCTCCAAAAAAAACAAATCAAAGAGCAGCTATCTGACAACGTAGGAAAAACTCGTCTGAAAACAATGTACGGCACATATAACCACCACAAGTGAAATAAATACACAGAAGTAAATACACAGAAGTAGATGGAACTCACTGACAATGAAGCAGAGAGGCAAGCAAGGAAGTGGAAAATCTCTGAACATGTGTCGCAGAATGGATGAACAAAACACAGAAACTTACCGCACAAGGAAAGTTGTGAGTTTCCGCTGTGAACAGAATATCCAAGTCCCTCTGAACAGGTGCCACTGGTGAAGGCTGACCTGGTGCATGCGGCATAAGTGGCGTCACAGAGAAACCTCGAATCGCACTATCACAGCAAAGCCCACAGGATCACAACACCTCATTATCAGAAACATGTTTTCGCCAACTGGTGGAATGCCTTCAAAACCGGTTCACGTCAAATGCATTCATTGGGTGTTTACTTGCAGCTAGCACTGCTGAGTACATCCGCCAAAGACCAGCTGGAACTGCAACCACGTGTGGATTTCACATTTCAATTTTGCAGTCAATATACAGCTTGTGGGTATCTGGCCGGCAGGCACGATCGAACACAGATCCCATGAAGACACACTCTTACTCCCATTCTTACTCAAAAAGTACTAAAAATTCCAAATAATAATGGTTGACTACGGTAAGCTTGTCTTCTTCCTCTCCAGACTCTTCATCAGCATCTGAATAGGAGAGAAGGTTAACAACAGTCGTATTTTTCATCACCACTTCAAGATGCAGCCTGCCTAAACAGATGGTTTTCAGGGTCTTCGGACCTTTCACCACTTCAGGACCATTCAAGTCTGAAAATCTTGAATGGTCCTGAAGTGGTGAAAGCTCCGAAGACCCTAAAAACCACCTGTTTAAAAACCACCTGTTTAGGCAGGCTGCATCCTCAAGTGGTGAAGGGTGGTTTTCATGGTCACTTCAGGACCATTCAGGATTTTCAGACTGTCCAAAACTCTCACTTCAGAATTTTCATTCTTGAAAGGCCTGATCTTCGAGGCTGATGCACCTTCCCAAAGTGAATACCTATACATCACATCCATGGCAGAGGCTTGAGAGACCCACATTTTCTCAACTTTCTTTTTTTTCCTCTTTTCTACTTTGTGGAGGGGAAAAGAGACTTGAGAAATCCACATTGTTCTGGTCTTGGCATCCCTGCTACTGGGCGGTGCCAAGTTTGTCCGTTTCTGCCCGTGGGCCAGCTGCCATACACTCAGTAAAGAATTGCGTTGGTCTCATACCTTTCCCTTTTCTTCTTCTCTCAAAGGTTGGCCTTGTACTCGACAAAGGGTGAATTGGAGCTGTTTTCGTCTGTACATTAGCTTGTGTTGGAATTGTCTTTCACTGTTTCACATACATTTCCAACACACCAAGCAGTGTGCCAGCCTGAACTTCTGTTATTCAATTAAAATTTAACAATTAAAAGTTAAAACAGCGTTGCATGATCCTGGCTCCTCTCTACTCTGGGGAGCATCAGTCCGTTTCCTCATGAAATTTTATGTAAAGTTTTGTAAACCCATGCTTATACTTCCTCACGTTACGGCCCCGCGAAGACCGACATCATTGATTTCTCCTGTTCGAGTACCCCCATCCTGGTAAGCAAGGCCCCTTCCCCCCATCTTCTTACCCTTAATAAAACAGGTCTGAAAATCAGCTATTTGTCAAGTTCCTCTCAAGCCGTTAAAACAGATCGCTGGATCTAACACGGACAACTGGTTAGTCAGTTGCTGGTGCTATTGCAGGAGCGGTTCCCTTCCCAAACTTCGCAAATTCATGTAACAGGTGTTGGACAGATTGCTGGAGGCAATAATTGGTACTGGTACACTAAAATTTGTTGAGAACGACTTCTACTTCTGCAGGACCAGCGCGCAAACAGAATGCGAGGGGATTTTCTCCCCTTCCTCCTCCTCAGCCATCCACCAACAACCTCACCCAGGTGGTGACTGAGCCAGACACTCTCCAATCAGCGGGAGATAATCAGTGTCACTCAGATTTGGTACAAGGGACCAAAATAAGAACTTTTCATCGTTCCCCTGTTCACTAAAAATGGAATTAATGTTTGGAGTGGAAAGTGTGAGGAGCGCAAAACAAAATAGGGTGAAAGGGGATTCCCTTGTTGCCTGAATCCATTCTCTCACCCAAATCGAGGAAAATGGTTCCGTCCCCTAGCCTGCAATGGTCGAATTGACAAGCATCCAAGAAATACACAAACTTTTGCAATGCACAAGAATTCTCATAAATTCAATAAAGAATGGTGGAGATCAAACGCCGCTTTCCCTTTTTCTAGCGATTTGTTATGATCCTGGCCAATTTTGAAGTACACATTCATCAGAAAGTACAATGCCGTCCAATTGCAAAAAGAAATGAATGAACTTGAGAGGAGAGAGAGGGAAAGAAGAAGAAGAAGAAGAAGAAGATGATGTACACCAGCATAGACCAAAATGATAATGCTCTTCTTTGCCAACCACCCTCCTCTTCCCTATCTCCTCCCCTCTTGTTCAAACAAGAAATAATAATAATAATAATAATAACAATAATAATAATAATAATAATAATAATAATAATAATAATAATGTTGAATGGCTGGACCAGAATCAATGTCCAAATCCCTCTTCTTCTGCAGGTATCACATGAGGTCCACCATAGCCATGGCCACCCTTCTTCCTCCTTCCTCCTAGGCCGAGGCTATGGCCAACTGTTAGGGCCTTGCCCTGATGTGTAGAAGACAACTCAAGCAGTTATGGCTGCTCTGGCTCAGGCCGCCATGCCTGAGTCTGCCTCAAGCCTTCTTGATGTAGCTCTACCCCTGCTGGGGCCTTCTTGCTGCAGCGCCCACAAAGGCGATGAAGATGGCAACTACCATAGCCAGGTAAGTACCTCTGTCGCTCCTCCCTCCTAGTCCTGGTCTTCTTCCTCCTGCCCTTGCTCCTCCCCAGCAGCACCGCTCCAAGCTAGCGCTGCTCCAGCCAGCGCTCCAACCAGTGTGTCACCAAACTTGCACACCAACAATGAGGAGGAGCACTTCGCTCCTCCTGGAGATATAGTGGCCTACTTGCCTCTTGGCGATTGGCCTCCAAGCAACCGGTACCTCCTCCCTTTCGGAGGGAAACATCATTGCAGACTCTGATATTGCCCGTACAGGCCCTAGACTCAGACTGGTTGGACTGGCACCCGCCTAGACCTAGCCTACAACTACTGGGCCTCTAAAAATGCCAACTTTTGTCTTCTGCTCGCCCTCGAGTAACCGGCACATATACCTCTACCTGGCGTGGTACCGGCCTACCTGCTACTCGAGTGTTTTTCCGCTGCTTCAAGTGTCGCGGGCCTATTTCCCACCCCTCGAGTGTTTTCCCCGCTGCAACCCTCAATGTCACAGCCACAGGTAAGTACCGGCCCTTCAGGCCTTCCGAACAACCAAGTGCCCTTGCGGGTCACACACACACTAAACCTACACACTCAAACCGACAAACACTCAGACAGGCATGCAGACCAGCAAGCACGCACCCACACAGACTTAGAAAACCCAGCAACAAGCGGGAAACTCAGCAAGGCATACATTCCATGAGCACAACTCAGAAATCAGCTGTGTGTCAGTCTGTGTTTGGGAGGTCATTACAGACTAGCAAAAGTCGGAGTGATGGAAGTGAAGACGTGAATAAAACTTTCTACCACCCAAAGGAATCAAAGAATGCAATATAAATAATGTAATGTGGATAAGACAAATATTTAGAGCAAGGATTGAATCCAGAATTGGGAATCAGGTCATCACGATCAGCCTGCAGAGTGCAGACTGATTTTAGGTTTTGACCCCTGCCTAAGGGATGTGACCCTATTAAGGGGGGTCCTGCCCCCTCCGCTTGATCAACTTCTACTGCAACTACATGGGGCCGGATACACAGCTTTCTATTGCTATGCTCCAAAGCAGAATGATTGCTCGTCCATCGTGTCTTCTGTCCTGATCGTTACTTGTAAGATAAATACTTATCTTCCACTCGCTCGTTGCCGGCTTGATTTCCTCAGAGTCTAGAATACGTGTTTGTCCTGACTAACTTCCCCGTTTCTGTCCCATCCATTGATGCCTAGTATAGGGTTATTTGTCTGTTTGCGCTTGATCCATTTGTTCACCCCTTATTTCCACCACCCTTTGCCTGGCTCGACAGAAACTTTTTTTTTGGCTCAACAAAAACTTATTGCATGCACCCTAGTTTTGTGTCCTTTCCTTTTCCTGGACCTAGACAACGCCAAATGTTTCCCCCCAAGAGTGATGAAGGCACAATTTACTTAGTTCCATCGCCCTATGAGTGATGAATCATACAAACTTGCCCCGCTTCATCTGTGTCAAAAAAAAACCTGCCTTTATCAGTCCGGTTCCATCGTATGGAGCTTCTGTTCCAACCTTGTCCTTTGTTCTATATAGGTAAGTGCTTGGATTTGTGATAATCCGTTCCTGTGGGTCACTTTTCACATCTGCTCCCCACTGTGTCCAGGTGTCTCCCTGCATCCCTTACTCGTGAACAATAAACCAACCCGGTCGATAAGAAACTTCACACTTGTCTTCAACTTTCCTCCTTCCCGTAATAACTCTCTCCTTCCCTCTTCTCCCATCTTTCCTTTCCACCACCCTTCTCCAGCCTTGTATTCCAGGAGGTGAGAGTCACCCCCCCATGCAGCGCTTGGGCACAGCTCCCTCCTGTCCCTGCCTGACCCTCCCTACTTCATCGTTTGTGTGTGGATATGGAGAAGGTTATCTCTGTCTCCCTCCCCCACCCATTCTTCATCCAGCATCGCCTTATCTCGTCAGTACCTTCCTGTACCATGGTTCTGCGGGATCACCTCAGTGCCCAGGGAAAAACATTGTGAGGAGATCTTGTAGTGCATGGGGTGGGGCTTATCAAGCGGTGCTTCCACAAGATCATTCAGTCTATCTTGCCTTCATAGTCATAGGGAGTGATCACGTCTTCGGTATTACGCTCACGTAGCCTGACAAACTAAACCCATTCTGCAGGACCAAACTCCCAACTCCCTGATGTCTTTTTCAAGCCTGTGAAGAAGGATTTGGTCCTGTATTCTCTCGCTTCTTCTGTGCACATATCCCTGTTCCTTATTCCAAGTGCTGATTTCTTTGAACCTATCCGTGCAATTAATAGGTCTTATTAGGCTTTCTTCCTCCACTCTCCTCACTGATTTCTCTATCTTCACTAGTTCAAAAACCTCGAATTCCACTCTATTTTGTTGCTCGGTTCTGTCTCTGATGTATGAGAGGGCCACTGATGGCCTACCTGGGAGTTGTGGCAGGCCCTCCACTCATCCGTAGTGTCCACACTACATGTAGCTTAATGTCGAGGTCCTGCTCCTGAGGCTGGACATCAGTATAGACCCTGGCCACACATTCTTGGGGCTGGGATAGGAGGTAGGACCTCGGCCCCTGATATGGGCCATTGGAGCACAGTTGGACGGTCCAGGTCCTATTGCTGAGGCAATGATGCTGGGCCAACACATCAGCAGGGGGACACAAGAAACACATTTTTGGGCCTGGGCTATGAGCGTGAACCTCGCCCTCTCATACCTTTTTCGGCCTTTTGGCTAAGATAAAGTGAAGTATCTGTTCTGATCAGTTTAATATCTGATCCGTGGTCCATCAGGCCATATTTAAAAAAGAACAGAAAAAAAAAGAACCTCGGTCTCTAATCTGGACCAACGAATCACAGTTCAATCCGACACCTAGGGAGAGCCCAGGTGGAGAGTTTGGCAGGCCCATAGTTATTATTGAGGAGGGCCAGTCCAGTGGGGAGGTGGTTTCATTCTCAAATTGGCCGCCAGGCTGCTGGATTGGCAACTGGAGCAGCCTCGAGGTAGAGTAGAGTAACACAGAGTAAAGGTAGTGAGGAGGAGAGGAACAGTGGAGTTTGCTTACCACGGCCCATAGCTTTAAGTTCAGCCACCGGCCATGGCCGGTTTTCTTCTCCATGGTTCCTGCAGTCCATCACGGCTCTGCCTTTCACTGGTCAGTGTCTTGAAAAAGAAAGAGAGAGGAGACTTTCACCTCCTTCCCCTCA